TTTCATTTTTTAATTGGGTTCATTTTCTTATTGTTGAATTGTATGAGTTCTTTGTATATTTTAGAAATTAGTCCTTTACAAGATGTGTCTTTTGGAAATATTTTCTCCCAGGGTGTGGTGGCTTAACTATATCTTGACATCATCCTTTTCAGAGGAAATAAGTTTTTCATTTAAATTTTAATGATGTACAGTTTATCAATTATTTTGTTCATGGATTGTGCCTTTGATGTTGTATCTAAGCAGTCATTGACACATCCAAGGTTGTCTAGATGTTTTCCTATGTTATCTTCTAGGAGTTTTATAGTTTTCAGTTTTACATTTAGGTCTATGAGCCATTTTTAGTTAATTTTTGTAATGGGCAAAAGATCATGTGTAGATCTTCTAGATTTTTTTTAATCTCTTTTGTTTAATGCAGATATATCCAGTTGTCCCAGTATAAATCTTTGCTTCATTATTTTGCCTTTTCTCCTTTGTCAGTTATCAGTTGACTATATTTATGTGGTCCAGTATGCAGGCTTTCTACTCTGTTTCATTGATCTACTTGTCTATTCTTTCACCTATGCCATATTATCTTGATTATTGTAGCTATACAGTTAGTCTTGAGTTTTGGTAGCAGCAGAGTCTAATTATGTTCTTCAACATGGAGTTGGTATTCTGGATCTTTTGCCTTTATATAAAACTTTAGAATCAGTTTGCCAATATCCATAAAAATAACCTCCTAGTATATTCATTGGGACTATATTGCATCTATAAATCAAATTGGGAAGAACTGACATTTTGACAATATTTACTCCTTATGTCCAGAACATGGAATGTCATGCCATTTAGTTTGTTCTCCCTTGATAATGTTCATCAGAATTGTGTAGTGTTTAAATATAGGTCTTGCATATCTTTTGTCAGATTTATACTCAAGTATTTCTTTTTTGAGGGTGTAAATGGTAATGTGTTTTGTTTTGTTTTTAAAAATCTTTGTCATAGGGTGTATTTGCTTGTCAGAGATATAGAGAGAGGAAAAGTGAAAAATCATCCCTGTGGGGATAGTCATATTTTAATCCCTTCTTCTCCATTCTTCTCTCTGGATCTTAGGCATGCATGCACATATGACCAGCTGAGTTCAAGCTGCAGATCAGGAACTCAAAGTGCGAAGCTGGCCATGTGGGATTCAGTACCTTAACCTCCATGGTGCCCACTGGCTCCTGGTAATGTGTTTTTAGTGTCAGATCCCACTGTTCATTGCTGGTATATACGAAAGTGACTGACTTTTATGTATTAACTTTATATACTCCAACCTTACCATAATAAGTTACTAGTTCCAGGAGCTTTTTTGTTGCTGTCAATTCTTTGGGCTTTCTATGTAGATGAGCATGTTGTCTGCAAGCAGACAGTTTAATTTCTTCCTTCCCAATTTGTATACTATTTTCTTTTCTTGTTTTATTGTATTAGCTAGGACTTGCAGTATGGTGTTGAAAAACAGTGGTGAGAGGGGACATATTTGTTGTATTCTTTATTTTAGTGGGAAAGCTTTGTGTTTCTCACAGTTAAGTGTGGTGTTAGTGCAGGTTTTTTGGGTTTTTTTTTGGTAGATGTTCTTTACAAAGTTTAGGAACTCTTCCTCCATTCCTAGTTTGTTAAGCTTTATTTTTTTTAATTAAAATTTTTTGAGAGGTTTTTGCTTTGGGTACATGTGCTCATCAGAAACACAGAGAGAGACAGAGAGACAGAAAGTGAGAAATCACCCCCCAGGGGTATGGTCACGCCGCAATCCCTTCTCCTCCATTCTCCTCTCAGGATCTTGGGCATGCACACACATGCACCCAGCATGAGTTTAAGCCACTGGGTCTGGGACTTGAACCACGGTTGGCTACATGGGAGTCCAACGACTTAGCCATTACACTATCTGCTAGTCCCAGTTTGTTGAGTTTTATTTTACCATAGTGTTTGTTTATATGGGTGGTGGATTTTGTCAACTGCATTTTCTACATCTATTAATATAATCACTTGATTTATCTTCTTTAGCTTGTTGATGTGACAGTTACCGTAATTGATTTTCAAATATTGAACCAGCCTTGCATATCTGGAATAAATCCAAGTTGGTTATGGTGTACAATTCTTTTTACACATTGTTGAATTTGATCTGCTAATATTTTGTTGAAGACTTCTGCTTCTCTGTTTATGAGAGGCATTGGTCTGTATTTTCCTTTCATATAATGCTTCTTGCTGGTTTTGGGTAATGAGTTAGGGTGTATTCCTTCATTTGTCTTCTCTGTAAGAGATTGTAGAAAATTGATATAATTTCTTCCTTAAGTGACAGAATTTACCAGTAAATCCATCTGGGTGGAAATTGTGCTTTTCATTTTAAAAGCTTATTAATTATCTATCTAACTTCATTAATAGATATAGGCCATTTGAATTGTCTGTTCTTTTGTGTAAGTCAAGGCAGATTGTGTATTTCAAGGAAATCTAGTTTAAATCTGGTTTATCTGGGGGACCAGCAGAAGGGGGAATAGTTATGTCGCTGGACTCCCACATTGTTGACTGCAGTTTGAGTCCCAGACCCAGTGCTTATAATTCATGCCAAAATGTGTGCCCAAAATCCCTAGAGGAGAATAGAGGAGAAGAGATTGCAACGTGCCCTTCCCCTGGGGAATGATTTCTTGATTTCTGTCTCTCTAGTGAGCACACATGCCTTATAGCAAAAAAATGTCTAAAAAAACAATAGCCCCTGAAAACAAACTGGTTCATCTGATCTAGGTTATCAAATTTGTGAACAAGGAATTATAATTTATAATTTATAATTTTATAAATTTATAATTTTCATTTATAATCTATGGTATCTATAATGATGTCCCCTCTTTCATTTCTGATATTGCAATAGTATTTACCTTTTAGAAAGTAATCTTTTTTTTTTTCTTAGTTAGCCTGGTTAGAGATTTATCTATTTTATTAGCATTTTTAAAGAACCAGCTTTTGTTGAATTTCTCTCTTTCTCTCTATCGTTAGAGGATGCATGTGATCACTAGAGAAAGAACTCCCCTCCCTTTGGGGCATGGTCATGCCACAATCCCATCTCCTCTGTTTCTCTATTCTGCTGGCGTTTGGAGCACTTATACATATACACCCAGCATGTTTCTCGGACCACAGGGACCAGTATTCAAACAGTGGTTGAACGTCGAACACCTGGCTCCCTTAATCATTAGGCCATGAAACCAGCCTTGAATTTCTCTATTGATTTTCTGTTTTAAATTTTATTGTATTTTGCTCTAATTTTAATTATTTTTCTTCTGCTTACTTTGAATTTGTTTTTTTTTCTAGCTTCCTAAGATGAAAATTACATTTATTATTTTCGATCTTTTCTAATACATCATTCAGCGCTATAAATTTTGCTTTATGCACTGTGAATTTTACTGCATCTCATAAAGTTTGATGAATTTTGTTTTTATTTTTGTTGTTAGAAATATTTTTAATTTCCCTTGATATCTATCCTTTGAATAATGTTAGTTAGAAGTGTGTTTAATCTCCAAAACTTTTGATATTTCCTAGCTAGCTTCCTGTTATTGACTATTAGTTTGATTCGTTGTGACCTAAAAACATACAATGTATGATCTCTACCTTTTAACGTATTTTAAGTTATATTTTCTGATCCTGGAAAGTAGTTTATCATGGCGACTGTTACTGGATGAAGTAAAATGTGTAATGCTGATTATAAAGTTGATTAATGACTGAGTTCAACTCCGTCCTTTTTGATGAACACAGTTTGTGTGTTGGATCTGTCCACTTCTGATAGAGAAGTATTAAAGTCTCCAACTATAATAACGGATTAATCTCTTTCACCTTGCAGATCTATCAGTTTTTGCCTCACTCATTTTGGCCCTCTGTTATTAGGTACATACATGTTAAGAATTGTTATGTCTTTCTGGAGGATTTATCCTTTTCTCATTCTATATAATGTTTGACCTTATCCCTGATCACTTTACTCATTCTGAGATCTTCTGTTTAAAATTAATTTAGTTACTCCTGTTTTCTTTTGATTAGTGTTAGTGTGATATATCTTCTGTTATCCCTTTACTTTTAATCTATGTGCGTTTTTATACTTAAAGTGGGTTTCTTATAGACAGCATATAATTGGCTCTTGTTCTTTGATACACTCTGACAGTATCTGTCATTTAATTGGTGTTTATAGACCGTTGATGGTAGATGTGATTATTATTATGATTAGAATAATATCAACTTAATTGTTACTGTTTTCTATTTTTTACCCTTGTGTATCATTCCTATTTTTGTATTCTATACTTTTTCTATCTTTTGAGTTTTAAACTGAGCATTTTGTATGATTCTACTTTTCTCACTTTCCTTGTATATCGATTATACTTTTAAAAAATTTTTAGTAGTTGCCCTAGAGTTTGCAATATACATTAACAAGTAATTCAGCTGCACTTAACAGTATACTGCTGCTTAATGGGTAGTAACTACTTTCTAATAACAAAAATATTCCTAATTCTTCCATTCTGTCCCTTTTATCCTTACTGTCATTCATTTCATTTATATATAAGCATGTATATATTGTTGCATTTATGTGTGTCTATAACACATAAGCATACTTAAATACAGTTTTTAAACAAACTGTTATGTGTTAAATCAATTAAGATAATAAAAATACCAGTTTTAAACTTATTCATTCTCTAATGATTTTCCTGTCTTTACGTCAATCCAAGTTTTTGACCTATGTAATTTTCCTTTCTGAAGAACTTTTTTTTTTGAGAGGTTTTTGCTATAGAGTGCGTGCGCTCGCCAGAAAGACAGAGAGAGACAGAGAGACAGAAAGCGAGAAATCACCCCCAAAGTGGGATGGCCACGCAGCAATCCCTTCTCCTCCATTCTCCTCCTGGGGTCTTGGGCATGCACACACATGCGCCCAGCGTGAGTTTAAGCCACCAGGTCTCGAACTGCGGTCCACTACATGGGAGTTCAGCAACATAGTTATTACGCAACTGCTGGTCCCTCTGAAGAAATTTTAATGTTTGCAAGTCAGGTCTACTGGCGCCATATTTCTCAATTTTTATTTGTTTGAGAAAGTCTTTATTTCTTCTTTACTTTTGAATGATAAGTTCACAGGGTACAGAATTCTAAAATGGTGTTTTTCTCTCAGCAATTTAAGTATCTTCCAACATTCTCTTCTTACTTGCATGGTTTCTGAGGACCAGTTAGATGCAATTTTCATCTTTGACCCTCAATAGGTTACATATAGGGGGTCCCTCTATAATCAATCCCCCTGTAGCTTTTAACTCTCAAACTCGTTGGTGCTGATTCTCCAGTAATTGTAGTTCTGGTTTTCCTTCCCTACCACTGGTTCCCAAAGAAGTTTGTGTTCCTGGGTTTCTTCTCTGGTAAGTGGTGGTTTTCTGGATCTGCCTGTCTGTTTTTCCAATTGCAGGAGCAGCAGTTTGCCCTGTGACCTCACTCCTTTGATCTAAGAAGAGTCATTCATTTTTCAGTTTATACAGCTTTGTACTTGTTAGGACATTATGGTGACTTCTAAGTTCGTAACTGGACCTGAAACTAGAAGTCTAGGTGTTTTTATTTTTTAAGATGACTGATGACTGGGTAGGTGTAGAGCTGTTTTTTAAACTTGTAAAAGCAAAAGAAATTTATGAATTTATACGTTTATTATCAAAATATAAAATCAACAGAAGTGGGGCTGTCTACTTGAAATATGCATGTAGGTGAGGGAGGAGCCAGGGTTTTGTCCTCTTGGTCCTTTCGCTTATGGTGGCCTACACAGTCCCTGCAGAGCCTCTCCTTTCCCAGGGGCACCATCTCTAGCATGGGGAACTGCCCAGCCTTCCGTAGGTCTTGGAAGGTAAGGTATGAAAGCCCTTGGAGTGTGTACATGTGTGTGGCTAAGTGCCCAATCACAGAGAGGAGGAACAGCACTCAAAGAGGTGGAGACTTAAGATATTTGCCCTACAATAGCCCTTGAAAAGGGAAGGGGCAGGAGGGTGATGTGGTTGGAATTAAAGTTAGAAATCTGTTTGCTGTGCAGAGACCATTTTGCAACTTGTCTCCTTTAAATGAGCCTACTCGTGCAGGGTGTTATTTAGTTAACCCAGCCTGAGGGGATGTTTTAAAGGTGGAGGATTGCCCTGGTGATGAACAAATATGAGAAATAAACTTCCAGTGGGGCTGGGTTGCCTGCTGACTGTGATTTCCTGATGATCTATAACAATGGTTATTCACTAACAGCTGGCGCATGTCTCCCTCAGACAAAGCCACTGGGAAGCACAGGCGCTCTGATTGGTGAACCAGAACCGTTTCCCTGGTAACAGTTAACTAGCACGTGTTTTATTGTTTCCAACTGCTTTTCCTGGGGTATTTGCAGGTGGTGGGAGATGCTTTCTTAAAGAGAGGTCATAACCTCATGAACTTTCAGATGTTGCAACAAATTGGGGAACAAAACATTTTTTTTCCTCTTTCAAATATATTAAGTAAATCTTATTACATAGTATTTTCAAGACAGATGCAGCCCAACAGTTTTTTCTTTTTTGCATTATTTCCAGATGTTATCAATTTTAAAGAAAGAATTCCCTTTTATGAGCAAAGTCTATAGGAAGGTAATAGTAGTGATGTGTGCAGTTGCAGAATGTTATTTCAGCTTTTGGAGGTATGTTCTGGTTCTACATTTTGCTATAAAATGTGAGATCAAGCCATAAAGTGCGAGTGTATTTTTCATTGGCCTTTCAATGGTTTATATTTTTTGCCTCTTCATTAATTACCTCAATGTTTTCGCCATTGCTGGTAGCTTTATTTTCTCATTTTTAATGCACCAGAAAGTTTATGGTGTTGTTATTAAGTATAAGACTAAATAAGACTTGATTATATTCGAATTTGTTTCTATATTTATTTGACATGTTTTTGAAAGGATTGGTTAATTTTCAGATGGATAGCTCCCTCTTCTGTCTGGTTTGCAGAATTTGCATCTTCTGAAAGCACAGATGGAAGATGTTATCCCAGAATGCTCTATCTTGGTTGAAGGCTGAATATGTTACTATCCATAGACTAGCAAATTCATGAATTGAATTATGGAGAGTGCTTCCATTGCAATAATTTGGTTTAAAATAAAATCGTCTATGCTACTGTAAATGCTGGCTAAAGGAAAATGGAAACATTCTTATAAGTTAATATTGAACTTGATTTATAGACATCCCTGAAAATAAATGCAGACCTAATCAATCACTTGTCTGAACTCTATTTGAAACACCCGGACTTTTGGTCAGAAAAGCATTTGTCACTTGATTCGTACAGCATTCCAACAATATTCTTCTCTTAAGCCTTATTTGCAAGGCCTTTTCTGGTAAGGGTTATTGGGTTTGCAAACATGCACCTACTAATAAATTTAATCGGCTGTATTCAAATGCTCTTCCCCAAGAAGCTAGAATTTTTTTTTAAAAAGTTATTCATTTACTGAAAGAGAGAGAGGGAGAGAATTAGAGGGAAAAACAGAGACAGGCAACCCTGATAGAGTCTTCAGACTGTGATCCTCCCCTGAGCTGTGCAGCTAGCTAGAATTGCGGGAGTGCCCACCTGGTGTGTTCAGGTGGATTTGGATCAGGAACCTAGAACCTTCCCATTTTGTCTTCTAGTATTGTGCAGGGCACCCCTACTGCCTGTACCACCATGACTAGGCCATGGAGCTCAGAATTTTTAAAAGGCTTTTTAAAAAGTTTTTTTTTTAAAATATTTTTCCTTTGTTTCCTTAGATTGAATTTAATCATTGCAGCAAATATTTGGTTATAATATGAAGATGACCACAAAAAGATCTATAACCTAAGCTCATAAAACCATAAAACCAAAAGAGTTAGTGAAACTGTTTATAAGGATACTTATATACAGATTGCATTTCTAGAGACATAATGAAGTGATAAAAATTTCTTTTTTTTGGAGAGGTTTTTGCTATAGGACGCATGTGTTTGTCAGAAAGACAGAGAGAGACAGAGAGACAGAAAGTGAGAAACCACCCCTGCAATCCCTTCTCCTCCATTCTCCTCTAGGGATCTTGAGCATGCATGCACACACGCCAGTGTGAATTTAAGCCACCGGGTCCAGGACTTGAACTGAAGTCGACTATATGGGAGTCCAACGACATAGCCATTACGCCAACTGCTGGTCCTATGAAGTGATAAATTTTGACTGTGAAGAAGGAAATATGGATTAACTCAGACTCATCAGACTCATCCTTCTCATTTTCCTCAATAGCAGAATGGTAGAGGTTATATAAACCTAATTATGTGAATATACATTAAATGAGTACTGTTCACAACTCTCTACTCTGCTTTTGTTGGAGTAGGCACATCACAACTGTGAAAGAGAAACCACGTTCTAACTCACACATTCCTGTTGGTGCTGTCATTATATTCTCTTTTCAGTTTCATTGGAGTGGCACAAACAACATCTTTCTATAAAGAAATAGCTTGAATATAATGGAATGAGGATCAGAGAACTATTCATTGTCAAAATTTGGACATTTAAGCAAACATTTTAAAATTTAAAATTACCTTATCCTCAAGTAGGTAAAATAAGCCATAAAGTGTTAGATAACATATCTCATGGAGAATGAGAACTTGTTGGAAACACAGACTGTAGCATAATTTGGCCTCTTCTTTCACAGATGAAACATTGAGCCCAGAGGTAGCTGACTCGCTTGGTGTTCTGCAGCTAGCTGGTGACAACTCGTTTCTTTGGATCCTCTGATTTCAGTATTCTTTTGCCTAGGAAACATTCCGTGCAGCAGTTGAGGGGCTGTAGATGCACAAACAACGGCACCCGTGTTCCAGACTCGAACCCCAGCGATGTGCTAGCTGAGTGACTTCGGACTAGTTAACCAACCTCTCTGTGCTTTAGTTTTCACTTCTAGCTCAGAGTGATGCGTGGAGCACAGTGTAAGCACTCAATAGATGTTAACTTTTAATTGTTGAGCTTTTTCTCCTTTATCTAGTGTGCATTTTGGTCTTAATTTACTCAGGATCTTGCCGTTATTACATTCTAAAACAGTTGAAGGTTGTACACCTGTTCTTGCAGCAGCTATGCACAACAGCCAAAAGGGGGAAGCAACCCATGTTCATTGACAGATGAATCAGTAAGCAGAACGTGGTATATGCATGCGGTGAATATCATTCATCCTTAGAAGCCAAGAAAATTCTGACACATACTATGCTGTGCATAAATCTTGAGGACATTATACTCAGTGAAATAAACCAAAATTCCAGACAAATAGTGTATGATTCCACTTATATCAAATAGCTTAAGTAGTCAAATTTTTAGAGACAGAAAAGTAGAATGGTAGTTGTCAGGGGCAGGAGGGTGGGGAAGAGTTGTTTAAGGAGACAGAGTTTCAGTTTTGCAAGATGAAAGAGTTCTAAAGATTAGTTGCACAATGAAAATATACTGAAAATGTCTAAACCTTACACTTAAAAATGCTTTTCAATGGTCAGTTTTATGTTGTATATCTTTTACTGTAGTTAACAATGGCAACAACAAGCAAACTGAAAGGCCTAGTGCAGCAAGAGCATATTAGTCATATTAATTAACCTTGGACATTTTGACTTCTTGGTCTCAGAGATCTGGGCCAGTGCTGCGGGTGAGAACCGAAAAGTTTTGGCGGGTGATTAAGTATGTGATCCCAGTGCTCAAACATCATTATCTGTTTTAGTTCTGTTTCCTTCCTCCAGAATTGCTGACTTCCTGCACTGGGTGGACTTAATTTCCAGGGCCTTACAGTTTATGGACTTGGATGAAATTACAGAAGCACACTTTCCCCACAGTCACATGAAGAAAACTCTCAGAGACTCTTTTAAAAATGCAAACACGTGAAAAGCAAATTTGATTCAATAAGTTTACCACTAACAAAACCTCTTTGCAGAGGTAAGGGGGTTATATACACTGTTAGAAAGAAACTTAGAAACTGCCCTATTGAACAAAGCAAGCAAAGGGACAGAGAGAGAAAAAGAAAACTGTATTTTGGTTTAGACCCCTCCCTTTTTTTTCAGATTTTTTAGATGACAGTCATGATCTGTAGAAATGACTAAGAGCATCATACACTTCTACAACTAAAACCAAGCACAACTAGAGAAGGGCTTATAATAAACTGGCATTTATTAATTTCTTTTAATAGTTTGATACAAAAGCTTTATCCCTTTTATTTAAATCCAGGAATTCCTATTATCATCTATTCAATATTCTTTCTATTTCAATTCAATAACATTTACCAAATATCTACTATGTAGTGAAGGCTGTGTGCCTCAGAGGAAACCAGTGGGTTAGGGCTTTAAAAACAAAGTTTTAAAAGGAGGTAAATAATTGAAAGCTTTTAAAATTTTTTACTTAATGCTTAAGTAATTAAGCACATTGAGACTCATAACAAATATTTGTGCTTCTAAATAACATTCCTTTTATGATCATGAGGTTTATATAAACTATTTGTAAAGAAAAATTCTTGAACAATATTGTAGGGAAATTTTGTCTTTTCACACATGCTAGTAGAGAATAATCACTATGCTAGTGGGATGTTTGCTCAAGCCAGCATTCAAAAGAGACAGAAGAGGTCCTTCTGTTTTCAGATTCTCGAAAATAGCAACTAAAATGCTTAGTAACAGGGCAGGAGTTAAGTCTGTCATTTTCAAAATGCCCCATTTTAATTCTACTTTGTCCTTTTGAAAAAGCAATCAGGAATTTTGCTTAAAATCATACACGCATAAATTAAACATTGATATATAATTACTAACTTTTTCAGGGTCACCACCTCAGTCCTAATTTAGGAATTGTCTTAATAAAAATTATGGTTTATGAAGCCACCAACAGGCATTTTATTGGAATCCTAGGTAGTCAATAACAATCTTGAAATCACAAAATATGTATATATAAGAAAACTTCAGACTTACCAAGTTGTAACAGTGCACGACAAAAGGCACAGTTTGCTGACATGATGCAGTTTCCTGTTTTCCAGCATCAGGTACTTTCTCTGATCATCTGAAGGCTTTAGGCATAGGTGGCAAAGAGAGGAGGGGAGAGCTTTAAATATTCAGAGCTACAAAAGGTGAGAAATAGGCCCTGACTAACACATCTCAACACACTGATGTATTTCATAATAGAAATATTTTCCTTTTCATTCTCAGTATTTTTAGTTGAATAAGTACCCACCACCCCAGGATTCTTAATAAAAACGTTTTACCCTTTGAGAGATAAATATTGTTAAGTTCATTTTGAAAGGTTCACATTTAGCTTTTGGCCAAAAGTGAAGCTTTGGTGGCTTTTGAATCCTTTTCAAGTCATGAACCCTTAGAGAGAAACTGAAGAGAAAGAGATCAGATTGCGGCCTACCTCTTTCAGCCCTTGAGAATTCCCTTTCCAAGTAGTTTCTTAAATAGGGAGGCTGCATCAGAACCCCCACTTCTTCTCCTTAGAAGTTATTAAATCAGCAGAAAGACCGACAATAATGGCACATGAAATCTAAGTTTTGTATAGGAAACAGACAGTCTACACTTTGTTATTCACTTGATGGACAGAGCCATTTTGACAGCCCTAACCTTGGAAACCACAGGTCCTGCTGAGCTCAGCAGGAGTCAAACGCTGACTACCATCTGTCAAAGCTTTATTCCCTGTCCTCATCCACGCCTTTACTATAAGATGCTAACAAGAGCACTGAATGAAAGTCGCTAACTACAGTTAAAGTTGTGTGCCTTAGAACACTAATGTCAGGGTAAGAAATTCACCCCCAGAATCTACCACATTTGAATGAACTGAATTGAGTATTCTAAGTGCTTTCTTAGCGAAGAAAGGAGGTGTAGATCCAGGAACTCCATAATCACATTACAAACATCGAATATTCCAAAATAAGGAAATTGCACATCATTCTTGTATGGTTTTAAATCTTTGGCTAAAATGATGAATGGTTTGGAAAGCTTTTAACTCTAAGGATTTTTTTTTTCTTAAGATAGTTTGGTTACACTATCCAAAAATAACAAATTCACTTCTTTCCAAAAATAAAAAAAAAGGAGAGAGATTTTGAGGAGTTAAACTCTTCCTTTATAAAATAAATCTATTTCGGAACACCAACTCTCTCTCCCTCTCTGTGGCAAAATCAACTTAAAAAAATGAATAGGCCTAATCATATTAAAGTCAATTAAATCTAGTGTGATTTAGTTCATGCTGCTCTGTGTAAAAGTGTATCAGTTGAAAACATGAAGGAGCTAGAGAGAGCATTGCTTTCTATTAAGTGCCACCAAATGCATATTTTTTGAAGTGCAAATTTATTCATCATTGTATTTAAAAATTGTGTATATTTAATGAATAATTTTAGATATTTAAGGTTCTTAAATTTGGAATATCATTTCTAGTTCATCCAAATATTTATAGATGTGTCCATAAATACAGATTTATAAGACAGTAAAAGTTTAGAATTTAAAAGTTGAAGAAACTGAGTATTTTTAGTGGAATTACTAAAAATTTTTAATTTTAGTTATTCTCCTTGACATAGTAGTGACCACAAGTTGTTTTGTTATTTAAAGTGACCAAAGAGGTGATTTATTTTGCAATGTCAAAACTAGCTAAGTAATAAGTAATAGTTTCTAGTATTACAAGGTTGGATTTTGTCCAGAAAGAAGTCTGAATAGATAATCTTTGAGTTGGGGGTTTGGCCCTTTTCTGAGCCTCTCTCACCTGCCCTTGATCCTAGGAGGAACTAAAGAAGGAAGCTGCCTTTGTGGGCAGACAGGGTCCCTGCAAAGGAAACATCTCTTTCACCAGTGTGCCGATGCCGAGACTCTTTTCTCTGGGGGCAGGACAAAACTTTCACTGCACTGAGAAAGGAGATTAAAAGGTGGAGGAGCACTATGGCCTTAAGTTAATATTGCTTACAGTTATTCTTAGAGTGAAGAGAAGCAAAGAAGACTGGGGTGTCAGGGGAGGGAAAGGGGTGTAGGCAGATAGAAAAAGGATGTAGACAGGGTATGCAAACTTGGGCTTCCTTAGGTTTTTACCTAAAGAGGGCTGCTTCAAGCGTCCATACATACACTTTGCATCAGGCATGAATACACTTTCTTAGCCTTGTTTTCCATCATGCTTGTGTAGCCTTTCTTCATTCTCATTGCTATACTGTTAATTGTAATAATCCCAGAATCTCAGAGTTAAGGAGATATTAAAGATTGTTTAGTCCAACCCTTCATTATAGGGATCAAGGAACTGAACCCGGACAAGTCTTCTCTGTGATTTATCTAAGCCCTTGTTGGGGGTTAGAGAGGAAAGCCACGTTTCAATGGCTTCAACTGCGTTTAAATGCTTCCAGAGAAGCTGTTACTGTAATTTAACCTAATAATTTGATTGGGCAAGCAGCACCAGCAATGTGCAACCTCACTGTATAGGTGGAGAGGCTGAGGCTGTAGAAATGACACAAACAGATGTGACCCCAGGTCTCTTAATTCCTAGGTCATGTATTCCAGGCAGAACTATCCCACCTGAAGATATTGCACAGAGGCCAGATGGCGGTGCAGTGGTAAACTTGGCACTCTTGTGAGGCAATTTTACATGAGAATGTTTGGGATTCATGTCTGGAGACCTCCTTTAGGACACTGGGCACGTGTGTCCATGATCCAGGGTTGACTGAGACTATGGTAGATTATGGTGTCAAGACCCTGTTGGGGATGATGTAACTTTGTCTCTCTGTCTCTGTATCTCTCTCTCTGTCTCTTTTGCTCATGGAAGAAAGAAAGAAACTTTAAACAATATAACATGGATTTTCGTTTGCTAGCTGTATATGCACCAAAAATGATACTGCTTCATGGGTGTTAGTTACCTGAGACTATGCCATTCTACAAAGAAGGAAGACTGTGTAATAACCCTCTGTAGGGGCCACCACAATTAGCTCTTTCTGTCTCCATCTTGACAAGAATGTAGAAAGTTGCTTTTCCCCACAGTTGAGTCTGTATCTTTCTTTGTTACCTTTGTATACAACAGAACCATATAGGTGCAAGAGCCAGTAATTAGTTTAATCCTCCCCACTTTCCTTTTTACTGGAGAGAAACAGAGAAACAGAGAGAGTGAAAAGGAAAGTGAGAAATCATTGTCTGGAGGTATAGCCACATCAAAATCCCTTCTCCTTCACTGTTCTCTTCTCAGAATTTGGGGCACACATGCGCCCAGTGTGATTTTCAGTCTGTCAGGTTTAGGATTTGAATTGTGATTTGAATTGTGAACTGTGTGGGAAGTCCAGCATCTTAACCCCCATGCCTCCTACTGGACCCTAGTTTAATCCTCTTAAGAAACCTAAAGGTAGATATTATTGTCACTCTTTCACAAAAGCAGCAGCTGAGGTTTGGCCAGCCACTGTAGGGCAGCAGTAACACAACACTCCCTAGTGCTAAAGCCACGTAGGAAGATCTCAGGTTCATGTCTGGAGTCTCCCTATACACACTGGGTGCGCACATTTGCCTGTGGTCCTGGTTGGGTGAAGCTGGGGTTATATGGTGTGAAGGCCCTGCTTGGGGTGCCTCCCTCATGCTCCCATGAAAGAAAGAAGAAACTTAAGGAAAAAAATCTGGGCTTCAAAAAACCTGAATGCTGCAAGTTCTCATTTCCTTATCTATAAAATAATGGTACTGACCTTAGAGGGTTTAATGAGCAATGCTGGTGAAACTTTTAGAAAGTGATGAGTACAGAGCAAGTGCTCAGTAATTGTTCATTTCTGTTATTACTTTTTAAAAAGAATTATTTGTTTAATTTTATTTATTTGTTCATTTATTTTAATTTGACCAGACACACACACACACACACACACACAGAATGGTGGGGTGAGAAAGCAAGCCACCAGGTCCAGGACTTGAACCATGGTTGACCATGTGGGAGTGTCCAGTGCCTTAACCACCATGCCACTGGCTGGTCCCCATTTCTGCTACTATTATCCATGGAATTCATAGCCAGATTTGATCATTTGCAATAACCATACCAGGTCTCATAATTATTATATTTGTTTTCATATCCTGTTTACAGACTTCATTTTCCTTTAAGGAAATTATAACAATTTAATAACTAAAGCTTAGAAAACAATACCTATGTTCTATTTATTTCGATAGAATATGATAGGCTTCAAAAATATTGGATCATCAGAAAAGTCGTGTCTATTTTTTCATGTTTTTCTATGCAAAAATACATCATGATTTTTCTGATAACCCAATATTTTCCTTTTTTTCCCTAGGAATATACTAATCTTTATATAGCTAGAAACATAATGTACTATGATTTTGTAACCTGCTTTTTTCTCGACATTAACTCAAAAATTTTATTTGACTGCCAAATCTTGGTGAATATCATTTTAGGTGAGTAAATGTCTATATGATCAGAAAGTATTTTGGCTGTTTGTAGTTTCTCTCTGTTACAATGCTCTAATCAATGACAGTTTTAGCACATACAACTTATTCTTCAGGCATATTTCCTTAAGTTATCGTTTCAGAAATTATTTTACAAATTAGATTAGAATTTGTATATTTTTGTAGCAAATGCCACTAATTCCTCTATCATGAGCCTCCTTTTCTGTTTTTATTTTATTAACCTTATTTTATACCTGTTCTTTGTTTTGTTGGGCATCCAAGATTTTTAAAGATGTGATTTGTTCAAAGTTATTTGGATGAGTAATGTCAGAACGAAGATTTTCAAAGCACTCTTTCTACCATACTAGTAATGCCAATGGGAAAAATTTCTCAAGATCCCTCTGTAGATAAGCCTGCCATTCCTTAAGGACCAACTGAGGCAGCAGAAAAGGCAGAAGTCTAGGAGTTGGGAGTGTGAGTTCACGTCCTGCTAAACTAATTATCTACCATTTGACCTTGGTCTTCTCAGCTATAATACAGACCCACCAAGTCTTAAATACTCCCCAGTATTTGCTGGGGAGTTTGAGGCTTAATTCATGCACCCAAGTGCTCTTGCAGCAGTGTAAACCACTGCATTCAGGCAGGGCAGCCTCTTGCTTTCTGAATCCTTAGCCCT